CGGGCAATTTGAATTGCTCGAATTCTCAACTTCAGCACATCAACTTCAGTTTAGCGGTACGTTCTACGAATTCTTCATGATTAGTGAAAGAAATTGCGTGAATAAGATCTGACATTTCTTGAAAAAGAATAATGAGGAGATATCTTTGTGGAAGAGCACTTCCGCAGGAGCTTTGCTTGCAGGGAAGAATACTCGGCGCAGTTCCGACCACGGGGATAAGGCGTTCCGTAAACTCCTGTGGATTTTGCAGATCCACAAGATTTCACTAGTCTCATGTTCAGATCAATTTCTGTGCGAAAGAACGGGTTCACACACCTCGGATCTCTTTCCATCTTTGTTTAGGCAGGGTGCCACTATTGCCACAAAATGCCCTGCCTTTCTGATGACCATCTTTCAGGTTTAAGGCACAGGGAAAATAACGTCGTGATCTACTGGACCATTCAATTCTTTTAGTCAATAGATGGACGTCATAAAGGGTTTTCTAGAGGTGGCCATCTGGTAATAAGAATCCTTTCAGGCGTTATTCCAGTAAAATAGAGCATAAGTGAATCATCTTCCATCTGGGCTCAAGCAATAATTCTCTCCCCCTTGCTCACAGTCGTTCTATTGCACGATCCTCCTACCTTCCCGTATAAGGAAAGGGAACCTTTGTCCGGGAACCAAAGTACATAGTTGAACGCAGGGTCTACGGAGAACTTGAACTCAAATCCTCTAAACGCGTCGAATTTGTGTTTTTCTCTGCTTTGTCTCGCCCGGGTGGCTCTCTGTGGTTGCTGTGACTTCGCTCATTCGAGCTTTTCCTTTTCACGTACGATAAGTGGCTCATCCACCCCGAAGTCCCCTCCCCTTGAAAAAGTTGGTTTCCTTTCTCGCCATAGTTTCCTGTCTGCGTCGCTTGGTTGCGCAGCAGGACCATCCACAAAAGTTCAAGATGTCACGTAAACCGAGTCTTGATTAGGGAAAAAGGAATCAGAGGCGGTGGTGAGTGATCTTCACCACACCTTTTACGTTAACGCCTTTTCTCGTTTTTTTAATGCCACAAGTGCTTTACCTAGTCACTCCTTTCTAATTGAGATTCCACCAAGAACAGAACATTCAGCGGGTGTTAATAGCATTTACGCCACCGTTATGCCTCAAGCTTTATTTTAAGCGTTCCTATCTTGCTCCGAGACTCAAAGTCACTTCGGTTTAGGACTTGTTCAGTCCGATAGATGAGTGCTGAAAATGAGAGCAAGCGAGAGATCCATCACATTTCAAATTGAGGGTATCCGCTCGCTTATCAGCACTGCGCAGGTAGGCGAAATTTTGTGTTGTACTATGTTGGTCGGTAAGCTCTAGGTATCAGGGGAAGTTGAAACTTTAGAGATGTACCTCATAAGGTGCCTCATAATCTCTGGCAATGCTTTTCTAGGCACAGCTAGGCCAGAGAACTCTCCCTCTCTTACTCCTGTCAGAGTACGTCTCAGGATACTTGTCAACCGCGAGGTCTTCCTCCCTCCTTCCCTCCTCCTTTGCCTTCTCCCTTCAACTGCTAGGCCGTTGGGTTCCATGGGAAAACACCTCTGGACCCTCGCAGCGACAGCATGCCCGGTTGACAACAGACCTGTAACCGTCAGTGTACCGTGCCATTTTATGGGACCTGTAAACTCTTGTGCAGCTACAAAATGAGACCATTTCCACTCACAAGGCTTTTTTCCGTCAGGTTTCCGGTGGAAGAGGAGCTCAACCTGTTCACCCTTGCCGAAGACCGTTTGAGAATGAAACTCGTAACATTCCGTAGCTTTACAAGACGTTGCGGTAGTTCAAAAATAGCCGTACCCCCGCCCTGATCGCACTGCGTCCAGTTCCATTGTTCATACGTTGCACTTTATGGGTGTATTCTTTATATTGCGCCCCAATCTTTTTTTATATTCATTACAGGTTATCGTTTCTCTTGGTTGTGCTGTTCGACAGTTAATAGACAATTCACTTGACGCGTCTGCGAAAACAGTAGGTAGGTGGCGATGAACCATTCAACGCTAAGTCCGCATTTCCCTGTGCTTAAACCTGGTCTCCATTTAGTCGTATTTTTCGAGTATTCAAATTTAACTGCTTGCCTGTGTTTGATTACTGATAGTTGTTGATAGGACTCAGGGTAGAAAATGCTGTGACTGGATATCGTAAACGACTAGAGCGTGTTCATGCTTGGCGACCGGTCGCACGATCCCATCGTTCGCGCGATCTAAGCGATTGGGTCACGAAGTATGAAGGCGCTCAATAAGGGTTCTAGCTCGGAAACACTAACTATGACCTATGCCTTTCGCAGAAATCCGTTCGAGAAACAATGGCTACGAATCCGTGGAGATCATCGACGATGGCTCTGGTATCGAATCTGACAATTTCGATTCTCTTTGTAAGTTTATCATACTGATTTTTTAAAATTCTTCGATTTCAACACACACGCCTCGTTAGGGGAGTAGTTCTTAACTCTGTGTACCATTCATGTTAGCACAGTAGTCTTGAACCATGTCACCTCTCGTTTTCGGCGGAAGATTGCTCAAATTGTGTTTAGAAAACTCTTAAATAAATTCGGTGAAAAAAGTTGCATGTGTGTTTCTGCCGCTGAGACTCACTTAAGTTCTCCAATCAATGGGTAGGTTTACTCCATGGGCGAATACTGTCCCCTAAAAAAGCCACAATGCTCTGCGTTAACATGGATATCATATGTGACTATGAACTTAAGGAATGACGCGGGGAGGGGGGGGGACTGAAAGGGCTAGTTTGGTTTTGGCATCAGATAGAAAAAATTCCGATTCCGAACAGAAGGGTATATAAGAGAGATGGCGCAGCCCCGCTTATTAAAATGTACAGGACCCTTGGGTCCCAAACCAATCTCTCCACTGTGCAGGATCCAGAGGTACTTTTTTCATTGTTTCTATTTCTCCCGAGCGTTGAAAGGAGTAACGCGAAAGGAAGAGAACGATGAAAGAAAGGAAAGAAGGAGACGGAACAGAAGAGGAGGGGCAGGTTCGTATGCTTGATAAAAGTCTTGAAAGCGCTTCATCAAATAGCCAAGGGCTGCTTGGCAACTAGAAAGTGAACGCTTACCAGCAAAGTGCTGTTGCGGAATACAACTGGTAGCTGAACAGCTGATCATTTTGTTTCATGAAACGGTAATCGGCAAAAAACAGTGGCTGGGCTGAGGTCGGTTTGATGGGGGCATTTTGCCCGTTCCCGTAGAGCACTGCCGATGATTTCTGTGAAGACCTGTAAATTTCTGCGCACTTGTGGAAGTGCATGAGCTTCACCTGAGCTCCTCCCCTCTCATGAGCCGACAGCACCTACTGGCTACTCTCCCTATCTTATACACGCTATTTCTCAGGTAAACCACATTCCACGTCGAAACTAACTGGACTGAACGACTTCAGTCATCTCTCCACACTGGGATTCCGCGGTGAAGCTCTCAACGCTCTTTGTGCTTTGTCGTAAGTATTCAATATTATTTTTTTCGTGGATTTTGTGGAGATGGCATTAATATTTTTGAATGAAAATACCATGCTGCTTTCAGATCCGTTACGATAATTACACGGTATCGTACCGATTCGCTCGGTACTAAACTCCGTTTCGATCACAGCGGAAACATCGTTGAAAGAACATCTGTGGCTAGATCAGTATGTACCAAGTAATTGCTGACTAGTAATTATTATATCTATGCCTCCATAGTGAAGTTTCTGTGCGAAAGCGATAATCCTAATGGACTTAAGGCCTTCTAGTGGTTTAAATTTCACTAAAACATCCATGTTTCAGACAGGTACTACGGTGATAGTCGAGAGTCTCTTCGAAACCTTACCAGTTCGTAGAAAGGAATTCGAAAAGACTGCTAAGAAAGAGTTTGGTAAAGTACTGACAACAGTACAAAGCTTCGCTCTTTCACGGCCAGATGTCAAATTCATATGCAGCAATACTGTGGCAGGGTAAGCGTTTTCCCAGGAGCATTTCTTTTGTAAACGAAACGTTACTTGATACATCTTCTGTCTGAAATTTTCTTATGCATCACTTGAAGCATCCTTCTGACGAATTTGAGTCCACAGTGGTTTTTTTTATGCAGAGAAAACGATAACACAAAAAAGAGTATC